AATAAATAAATAAATAATTGTCACAAGCGGTTCTGATAGAGAGTCCATTTAAACACAGCCATGGCCCTCTGTTGTCACCATCAGAAATCTAACATTGAGAATTGCCATGCAGCCATCACTGGAGTACAACAAAAAGGTAAAACCAGTTAGTAGTTTTTTAAAAAATAAAATTGTTTATTGCACAAAGTGCATTAGCCAGCAAAATTCGATTAGGATCTATATGTACTTTAATGCTGATCAATGTGCAGTTTTCCTTTAAAATACTTACTGTAGGAATGGACAAACCCTTTGTGATGACTAAAGGTCTGCACTTGGTAGCTATTTAGCGGTTTGTTTTCTGTTATTATATTAATAATATATTAGTACATTTAGTGGAAAAAATATGCTTTTTCTAACCCACACAATTCACAAAATGTGGTGATTTTTATTTTTTTATTCCATGCAACATGCTAGCCATTACACTCAATGCAATTTCAAACATCAATTGAGCTGGATAGCTATCAGAGAGGAAAGTCTAATAGAAACCATACAAATCAGGGTCCAAACAACTATTCTCTGCGCGTAATCTACACATGGGTACACTTACAGAGCACGCTGCCAGGGACCACAGCGCAGACTGCGGTAGACACGACACAGCGTCAAAGTGTATGATGCACACTTCTCTGTAAAACTCATCTATGACAATTAGTGTTGAATTCCAGAGAATCTTGCAGCAAGCAAGCACACGCAGACAGGAGAAAAACCACCAAACATTTATTTTAGCTGCAAGCCAAAAAAAAATGGAACATGAGTCTAATAAATCAGTCCTGGGTGAAATTGTTCGACTGGTGATGATCAGAGAATGTTATCAGACAGCTCCAAACTTTCATGTCAGTGACAGTCGTCACGTTGATGTCTCAAATTAGTAGTATTGTGGTTGTGTGAATAATTCCTTTCTGTGTCTAGATGAGCTCCTTCCAGACATGTTATCTTGAGTCCGACTGCTAAAGCAGTCTAGTCTTTGCAAATTACAATCTTCCTGTAGCTTGCAGGTCACACTAACCACCACTTATATTTAGCCAAATACCAAGTCTATCGGTTTAAAGACAAGCCGGAAAGAGACACCTGCCCCCAGGGGATAAACATTATGTCAAGGCCAGTATATATATCATTTGTTTCAGATAACAAATTCCTGGCAAATGGTCATAAAAAGGCTCTTAAAGGGCCTCACTCAGGGACCTTTTACTGCATGAATCATTCAAAGTCATCCAGATATAAAATCACAGGATGGGGCTGAAGCAATAAAAGAGTTTCTTAATTTAAAGCTAAAAAAGTAGAAACCCCCCTTCCATTGGTGGGTTGTGACCTTGTTGGGGGTTCCTGCAGGAGGTGAAATCAGATCCACTTTTCATCTGGAAATTTGAATACCCCCTTTAACTTGGTACAGACAAACAGTCATTGGCTTGGTGGTTTGAAATCAAGGTTTTTCGGCTTCTCTAGTGTTTGACAAGAGAACATTTTGGCTATGCCTTACATAATCATAATTTTTCAAGACAGCCCTTTGGCTTGCTTATATAGCGTACCCCCTAAAGAATCACTGGTGAATTAAGTCTTAAAGATCACACAGTCAGGCACACAGCATTTCCAACACTCTTCCTTTGGCTCAAAGATTGGTCTAGGGTGTATTTCGGTTTTGGTGTTGTTTTATTGGGGAATGATGAATTTGGATAGGGAGCATGGGATACCCCAGAACTGTAAAACCTGAACAATTTAAGGAATGTTTATCTTCTGGCTACTCTGCACCACTCCTGGTGGTTTTGCACATCTTTTGGATGCACCGCACAACTCCTGGCTGTATTGCACAACTGCTGGCTGTACTGCACAACGTCTGCCTGCAATTTCACAAAACAATGTCCCATTGGATTTCTAGCTGTCTTTGCCCTGTATTCTTCCCAATCTCAAAGAACCACACTGTCACACTTGCAGCACTGGGGTATCCACTTAGCCACAGGATCATCAGTTGTTCCCTGCCGATATCCATTAGGTTCTTCCTAGTGAGGGAGCTGTTGACTCACACCGCCTCTGGACAACTTGGGCTCTCTCCCACAGCTTCCTCCTGGCTCTCACCCGTGAGCTCTCTCCTGACCCACTGGATTCTTGGACTGGATTTGTGAATAGGCCCCCAACTAAGCCTAGCTGGGACCTCAGTGTCTTCAGGTTGACTTCCTCCCAGACTTCTGCCCCAGGGGTTAGAACCCCTCAACAGGGATCTTCTCCTGCTGATCTGGACCCAGGAACACTGCTCCTGCTTTTCAGGCCTCAGACTATATATGGATTCTCCTCCACCTTCTGGACACACTTCCCCAGGCATTGGCTATACTTCCATAAATATGCAGGCTGCAGACTCTGTCTGTCCTCTCACTATGTTCTAGAAATCTCTAGAAGACAGGGGGAGGTAACAGCACAGCAGCCAGTGAAACAGTGTGCAGCCCTAAGCAATCCAACCTTGCTCCTCTGATTACAAAGAGACAGACCAAATTTGCCTAGCAGCCGTACAATACACTAGGAGGTTGCTATACTTACAATGCTGCAGTGTGATCATTAGGGGTGAGGTGACTGAGGAAATGTTTTCTCCTGCCTGCAGCAGGATTGTACTGAAGTTGATAGAAAGATTGACTTCAGTACAACCAGCCTGCCCATAGATGGATCAAAATTTGTCCGGTTCCAGCTGAACCAACCAAATTTTGATCTGTCTATGACTGGCTTAGGAAAGGTCCAATGACAGCACCTTGGGAGGAGGTAGAGTTGTAAGTAACACTGAAGGTGAGGTGAAATAGGTAAGATGAGGATAAACAAAAAGTACAGTCACAGAGACCAAGGGAATGGATTTTTTTGAGGAGGAGAGGGTGGTCAACTGTATTGAAGACAGCAGAGAGATCCAAGATGAAGAGTACAAAATAGTGACCATTGGTTTTAGCCATTAGTAAGTTGTTCTTTGAGTTTTAGAAGAGCAGTTCCTGTTGAGTGTCCCAGGTGAAATCCAGACTGAAGGAGTTCAAGAAGGTTATTCACAGTGAGGGGATAGCTCAAAAGGTTGTTGACTACGGAGCAAGGAGAAAGGTTGTTAAAAAGGGCTTTTTAAGTATGATGCTGACCAGTGTCTGTTTTAGAGGGTTGGGGGAGATGCCAGTAGAGAGGGAGATAGCAAAGATGTGAGTGTAGGATACAGTAAGAGGGTGACCATAGTCTTAGTGAGGGAATGGGGTCCAGGGGGCAGGTGGGCATTAGTAAAAATGTAACCGACCTCCTCTATAGTAGCAGGGTTAAATGAGAAAAGTATTGAGTGTGCAGGTGGGCATAGAATGATAGGTGGGGGAGATATCTGTACAGTGGAGATCGCTTCACAAATTGCAATAATCTTATATTTTTAAGTGATTGGTGATCTCCTGGCAGTGCGTGAGTTAGTGGGTGGAGTCAATTGAGCACAAAGTAGACAGTTAAAGGTACTGAAGGGGACTGTGTGAAAGGGTGTTAATGAGAGTGATAAAATAGGACTGTTTGGCAGTGTGGACCAGGTATTGTATTTTTGGAGGGTAAATTTAAGCTGGCCATACGGGATCGAAATGTGGCTGGTTCAGCAGGAACTCCATGTATGTCCGTTCCCATTCATGAAAAGTCAATCTATTGATCAAGTTTTCATGAAAGGGCCTGTTGGTATATTTTGGTTGGATCAGTTTGTGCAGCCAATCGGCTGCAGTGCTGATCAGTGTACGCTGACCTTGGGAGTGTCCCTGCTGTCAGACTACAATAGCACAGTGTTGAGAATTTCACTGGATTTCATGGCTGGCTGAACAAAAAAACTGAGCCTTCTATGGCCAGCTTTACACAGGGTGAAGTCTTGCTGGGACTAAGTTTTCTGCCACAGATGCCAAGCTCCTGTGCTGTCTTCAATTGATGACTGTAGTGCTGACTTCAATCCAATCATCCAATAAAAAAAAAGTGATTTTTCATTACATTTACCGCATTCACTAAGCTAAGTGAAAATTCTCTTTGCAAAGTGAACATATGATACTTCTTTATCAACCTAACTGTGTGCAGGGAAAAAGCTCTTGGGAGATGTAGTGCTGGGGGTTATGCCTACCCCAGCAGGAACTGAGTTCCTCTTTCCAGCAGCTGCTCCTGCAGGTATTTTTCATGCCTGGTGATGATGTCATCAACTTCTACGTACATGTAGAATTACAAACTACACATGGCAACATGGATTTTTTAAAAAACATTAACACATACTGTTTTTTTTACATCAACCTGATTTGTTTTTCAAGTTTATCTATAATAATGCAAACAAAAACTTCAAAAATAAAATACATTTTAGAATAAATATTAACTGAGATTCCCCTAGGTAGGTCATAGATACCATCATTCAATCCATAAGAAGAACATATCTTTGTCAAATGGGGTTTGGACAGCTAAGAAGCACTTGAGATTACAACCGAGGCAGCTGCAATAGTTGGCAAACGATTAAATTCCATTCTCAACCCTTGTCACTATTCTGCGTTGCATCAAAAAATATTGTGTTAAAGATGAAATAACTGCACCCAATTTGATTTTAATACTTGAGAATGGACTCCTATATGTTTGTTTTACTATTATAGTTTGTTTTAAGAGCATGTACCATACTGAAGGGGTGCCATGTTGAGATGGAAATGCCCTTTTGAAGCCCAGTTATGGGCAGAATTGGTACAGCTTAGGTGAATCAGAAATGGGACGTCAGTGTAATTTATTTTTTATTTTTAAAAGTTGAAAAGTTTAGCCAGAAGGGCAAGCAAACATTGGTTACAACAATGGTGAGCAACTGAATTTTGGATTGCTGAAAACCAATCTTGACTCCTCTGAAAAGCCATGTACCTTTAATTCAGGTCATCAAGAAACAACAGCCCTCTAAAATAAATGAACTAAATAAAGCTCAAACGTCTTCTTTTAGTTTTAGGAAGAGTCAGAACGTTTTTTTTTTTTGTCTGTTTCCCTTTCTGTTCACTTCCTATTCTGCAGACACAACAGGAAATAAGAGGGGTGAGAGGAATACTTTCTTAGCTGTCACCACAACAAGTGTCCCCTTGAAGAATCCCCCCTTTATTCCTGCTCTGCTCACATTTAAAAATTATGGATATTTCCCCATTTTTAGTAACAAAGATTTTTAGAGCAAATAGGGTTTTTAACCATATACTGCTCTATTCAAAGCCAAAAAAAATAGTTTTGACGTTGGATAAGTCTTTAAAGCCCAACTCCAGCTTTTTCCACTCATTTTTGAGCCCATCTATACGTTTTAAAAATTACTTTAATAATCACTTTATACATTGCTATTTTTAGTGCCAGGTCTTCTTCATTATCTTCTGCTATTGGTAATGGGTGGATGCAAAATGCTGCAATGAGCTTTGCCCCCTAAAAATGCAGCACCGCTCTCTGCAGTGGTCCTGCTATAAGTCCAGGGTGCATTGACACTCTCGGGTCCTACGTAGTAAGTTGAATGATGCCGAGCATCATTTAACTTGGAGGAGTGACATTGGATTGGGGAGGCTGTGGAGGACAGCACCAAAGAGGAGGTGAGTATTCCAGCCAGAGGTTTTTTTTTCTTTTTTTTTTGAACTTTTGCTGGAGAAAAACTTTATCTTTTTCCCTCAAGCTGGACTTGGGCTATAATACAGGTATAGATCTTCAATAGCACCATACAGTATGTCTTTGACTAAACACACAGTGAAGCATGGAACTATATTAGAGACTTTGGGGTTGATTTACTAAAACTGTAGACTGCAAAATCTGGTGCAGTGCAGCTCAGCTTCAAGGTTTTTTTTTGTCAAAGCTTAAAGTGTTTGTAAAGCTTCATTTTTATTTTACTAAAATAACAAACATGGTATACTTACCTGCTCTGTGCAATGGTTTTTCACAAAACAGCCCCGATTCTCTGCTTCTCAGGTCCCTGCTGGTGCTCCTAGCTTCCCCTGCTGGAGTGCCCCCAGAGCAAGCCTCTTGCTCTGGGGGCACTTGTGCACACTCGCTCTTCAGTCCTGCTCTGTGTACCCATAAGACACAAAAAGTGGGGCTTGGCCCCATCCTCCACTTTTCATCACCCACTCTGATTGATAGCAGTGGGAGCCAATGGCCATTGAGCCAATGAAAAGCAAGAGAGCCGAGAGACCCTTGGCTCTCCTACACATCACTGGATAGAGATCAGGCTCAGGTATGTATTTAGAGGGGCTGTGGGGGGAGCTGCACACAGAAGGTTTTTTTTTCTTCATTGCATGGAATGCAGTAAATTAAAAAAACCTTCTGCCTTAATAACCACTTTAATTGAACTAGCTGAAGTTAGAAGCACAGCTGCTCCAGATTGTGTACTGTCCAGTTTTAGTAAATCAACCCCTCTGAGTTCAGCTCCAACCTCAGTGAACCTTTTAGTAAGGGATAAGATCGTACTTTTAGCATACTGCCTTTACTAAAACTTTGTAGGGTCTTACTTCATGGCTCATTTATAAGAAAATTCAGGGTCTGTCTGAGCCAGCCTGTACGGAGCTACATTTGGAGTTTATTGAACCATATGGCCAGTGTGTTTCCCGTAGGACATCAAGCTTTATAGCTAAACAAAAACAGATTCAATACGTAGGATGTTATCCAGGCAGTTTGAATCATCTTGCTTTTGGTGTTGACCCACACCATTCACATACAAAGCCAGTTTGCAGCACCTCTTTAAAGTGCCAAATGACACTAGATGATGACTGGTTATCACATAATCATTTCTATAAATCAGTGGTATCCAAATTGTAGCCCGGGGGCCGGATGTGGCCCTTTGCCTGCTTTTATGTGTTCCTGCCACTAACACTGACAAAAGGGCACTATTCCTCCTATTTATACCAATTATGGGGCACTGTTCCTCCTATTGATACCAATGATGGGGCACTGTTCCTCCCATTGACACCCATGATGGGGCACTATTCCTCCTATTGATACCAATGATGGGGCACTGTTCCTCCCATTGACACCCATGATGGGGCACTATTCCTTCCACTAACACCGGTGGGGAACTATTCCTCCTATGCACCCATGATGGGTCACTATTCCTCCCATTGACACCAACGATAAGGCGCTATTCCTCCCACTAACTCCAATGATGCGATGCTATTCCTACCACTCACACCAATGATGGGGCACTGTTCCTCCCATTGACACCCATGATAGGGCACTATTCCTCCTATTGATACCAATGATGGGGCACTGTTCCTCCCATTGACACCCATGATGGGGCACTATTCCTTCCACTAACACTGGTGGGGAACTATTCCTCCTATGACACACATGATGGGTCACTATTCCTCCTATTGACACCGACGATGGGGCATTATTCCTCCCATTGACACCAACGATGGGGCACTATTCCTCTCACTAACACCAATGATGCAATGCTATTCCTACCACTCACACCAATGATGGGGCACTATTCCTCCCATTGATACCACTGATGGAGCACTATTACTCCCCCTAATACCAACGATGGGGTACTGTTTACTCTCACTGCTGCCAGGACATTTTCTTCTGCCACAGGTCACAGTCCGGCCCCCCAAAAGTTTGAAGGACAGTAAATTGGTCGTTTGTTTAGAAAGTTTGGAGACCCCTGTTATAAATCATTGTTGTATAAACATGTTGAATCAAGCAGATGTGAATATTTGCATCTTCAGAGAATGAGAGTTCGCACGCTCAGCTGCAGGTTTGTCTCCGGTAAGAGAAGAGAAATCAGCCAGGAAAATTTATCCTTGCCAGGCAATTCATCTGCCTAAATGGCTCAGCCAGGAGATTTTGGGAGGGCTAACATACTACCTGACCTTAAAAACCTGTGCTTTGCCCATTCCTGCTCCCCAGGAGCACATAATCATCCTTCATTCCGCCCAGCAACCAGAAAAGAAGAAAATGCCTGATATTTCTGGGTATGGGGGAGCATGCAAATTAATGTGACAGTGCTGGTTTAATTTGATTGGCCCACCATTATTATATGTTGCAGAAAAAGCCCTTGGTCCTATGTAAGCCTGCACCACCGCAGCAAGGTCATGGAGGAGTTGTGGTGCAGCAGCCACATTCACTTGCCAACCAAACGTGACAGGGGGATACAGTATATACAGGGGTTAGACAAAAAAATGGAAACACTGCATGATTTGCAGATGTGAAAGTGACAACATGTTTCGTGTTGAAAGTGGAAGTGATGTAACATTCTTTTGCTTCCACTGTGTGATGAGATTCTTAGCTAACAGGTGGAAAGCTTCACTTTCCTCATCCACTGCGTGTGCTGCTAGTAATACAGAGTCATGTCAGAGCTCACTGAGCTTCAAAGAGGGAAAATTGTTGGTGCCGCTTAGCTGGTGCCTCTGTGACTACATTTGCCAATTTGCGATGTACAGTATTGAAGGTTATGACATCATATACAGTTTCCAGGAAAATATCAGATAAGCATAAGCACGGTCGATATGGTCAACTGACCGAAAAAAACAAAAGGACATTGCACAGGATTGTGACCCGGAATAAGAAAACAACTGCTGCAAAAGAGACTGTAGAGCTCAGGGGCGGACTGACAACTCATGGGGCAATAGGGGATCATGGGGCCCCTGTGTCCTTGCCCAAACTCAAAAAAGCCTATGAAAAAGGTACCAGGGGCATCCCGTGGGGCCCCCTACTGACCCCAAGTCCTCCAAATGGTCAGTCCGCCCCTGGTAGAGCTCAATGTCAGTCCTGTGAAGACTGAGATTGAGCTCTGCAGTCACTTTTGCAGCACTTGGTTCCTTATTTCAGGTCACAATCCTTCGTAATGTCTTTTTGTTTCTTTCGGTCAGTTGACCATGTCAGCCGTGACTATGCTTATCAGACAATGTTTTCGCTGAAACTGTATATGACATCATAACCTTTGATACTGTACCTCGTGACCCAGCAAATAAACTGGCAACTTCAGTCACAGAAGCACCAGCTAAGCGAACACCAACAGTTTTCCCTCTTTGAAGCTCAGTACACTCTGACATGACTCCGTATTACTAGCAGCGTACACAGTGGATGACGAAAGTAAGGCTACCTACATGTTAGCTAAGTGTCTCATCACACAGTGGAAGCAAAAGGATGTTACATCACTTCTGCCTTCAACACCAAACACTTAGTAATTTTCACACGTGTAAATCAGATAGTGTTTCCATTTTTGTGTCTAATCCTTGTTCCTGGTATAGTGTACCCCTGTACGGATGCCTCTGCAATTGTAAACTAAGTGTTCAAGTGGCTGGACTGGGTGAATGTCCTTATGTAGTTAAGCACCATTAGAAGTTACATAGTCTGGCTAAAAAAAGACAAAAGTCCATCAAGTTCAACCATTAAAAAAAAAGGTACACCCACAGTTGATCCAGAAGAAGGCACAAAAAAACAGCAAAGCATGATCCAATTTGATCCTGCAGGGAAAAAAAAATTCCTTCCTGATCCCCCGAGAGGCAATCGGATATTCCCTGGATCAACTTTACCTATAAATGTTAGTATCCAGTTATATTCTGTGTATCTAAGAAATAATCCAGGCCTTTTTAAAGCAATCCACTGAGCTGGCCAGAACCAACTCTTGAGGGAGTCTATTCCACATTTTCACAACTCTCACTGTGAAGAAACCTTTCCATGTTTGGAGATTAAATTTCTTTTCCTCCAGATGTAAAGAGTGCCCCCTTGTCCTCTGTGATGACCTCAGGGTGAATAGCTCTACACTGAGTTCACTATATGAACCACTGATGTATTTATACATGTTGATCATATCCCTCCTTAATCTCCTCTTCTCAAGAGAGAATAAATTCAGTTCCTCTAATCTTTCCTCATAGCTGAGCTCCTCCATGCCTCTTATCAGTCCAGAGTTTGACGTTGGTGGACTTCAATGGATCTGGTTACTGTTAAACTCTTGGATGATATGACAACCTATGAATCACGAATCAAAATATAGGCTGATGTAGGCCAAGGTGCCACATCCTCACTAAATACATGCAGAATTAAAAGTCCAAAAAAATGGGATTTTTTTTCAGGTATCATAAAGTACACAATGATAAAACATATAGTATACATTTTATTAAAAAATACATCACAGAAAACTTTCTTTATGTTTGGATGTTTCCAACCTAGTGATTAAGGATTGGATCCACAAGCGACAAACACTCCCCCAAAGGAGATGCACTAGTAGATCATCAACCTCTTATTCTATTATTCAACATGACCGCCATCAAGGACACAATAATAACAAGAGCCTCCTTGGTGGCCCTGTTGAATAAAAGAATAGGAGGTCATCAATCTACTAGTGTGTCTCCTGTGCAAGAGTGTTTGTCCCATGTGGATTTAATTCTTAAAGATAAACTTCACTCTCTCAACATTGACTATTTTTAATCCTTTTGCTGCAAGCACAAGTAAATACTTAGGAAAGTATTTTATATATACTTGTTTTAAACTTTTTTGTTAAATTTCTTTAGTTACTTCCTGGTTTCCATGCCTAGGCAAATTATATCATACATCCCAGGAGTCTTCAGGAGAGGAGAAGGGGTTTTCTCAGCTAAACACACCTACCTGCCTGCATGCCTAAGCTAAGGGTAGATGGATTTCAGGAAGTGAATGCTACATGAATCATCTGCCCTTACTTAAGATGGCCATGGCCAGAAATGCTAGTGGGTGGTTTTCAAAGCAATTCCTCAGCAAAATTAAGCATGGAGACATGGATGGATGGATGAGTTTGCTTTGAATAATAAAAATGAATTAAATAAAAAAAATTTATTTGTGATGTTCAGATGCAGTGTAGTTCCACTTTAAGCACTCGGTTGGAAACATCCTGTGGATCATGGGATGCATATAAGATGTGTGGAGTAGTTCTGTTTCCTCTTTTTCTTCTTATTGGGGAGGAGCTCCTTGTGCTCCCTCTATCTATCCATTGTGGGGGTCACCCACAACATATGGACACACTTTTTTAATTTTTGGCTGCTTATCGTCTGTATTCTGTTAGTGAGCAATACCCAACACCCATCTTCCTCTGATGAAGATTTTCTTGTACTCAAAACGTGTTGGACCCACATGTACCAGTCTATCAAAATATGATTTTTTTGTTAAACATACACTCAACAGCCAATTTATTAGGTACACCTGTTCGCTTCGTAACACAAATTCCTAATCAGCCAATCACATGGCAGCAACTCAATGCATTCAAGCATCTAGACGTGCTGAAGACGACTTGCTGAGGTTAAAACCAAGCATCAAAATGGGGAAGAAAAGGGATTTAAGTGATGAGGCATGGTTGTTGGTGCCAGATGGGCTGGTCTGAGTATTCAAAAACTGCTGTTCTACTGGCATTTTCACCCACAACCATCTCTAAGGTTTACAGAGAATTTTCAGAAAAAGAGAATATATCCAGTGAGTGGCAGTTGTGTGGACGAAAATGCCTCGTTGATGTCAGAGGTCAGAGGAGGATGGGCAGATCAGTTCGAAATGATAGAAATGCAACAGTAACTCAATATGGACCAAAATCTCTGAGGAATGTTTCCAACACCTTGCTGAATCTACGCCATGAAGAATTAAGGTGGTTCTGAAGGCAAAAGGGGGTCAAACCCGGTACTAGCAAGGTGTACCTAATAAAGTGGCCGGTGAGTGTATCACACTGTGATATATGTGTTGATAAGTGGTTTTTAAGGCATTATTGATAATTTTTGGCCATTTTTAATCAACCTTGTGGTTTTATGAAAGTTTTTCTTTATGTACATTTTTAATAAAATTTGTTTTACCATTGTGTACTGTATGGTGCCAAAAACATTTTAATTTTACTTGTACTTTTTGATTCTGTATGAATTTTTTAACCACTTGCCCACCACCCTATATTAGAAGTACTGTTACAGGGTGGAAGGGCTGTGCAAAATCACATGTCTATATACGTGATTTGCATTTCCAGGTAGGGGGATGTGCACGCACCGCCCTTCTCGCATCTCTATTGACGGCTAGAGATGTCAATCACCGGGTCCCGGCCGGAGATTCCCTTCTGGCACCCACCAATCGTGGGCAAAGCTGACAGGGAAGAGACCTGTGTGTAAACACCACAGGTCTCTCTCCTGTCAGCAAGGACATGCTGCTTTGCATCTCTCTGCACAGCATGTCTCCCTAGTAAAACACACACAGCACATAATGTAAAACAGCACACAGTTAACCCTTTGATCGCCCCAGATGTTAACCCATTCCTGCCCAGTGTCATTAGTACAGTGTCAGTGCTTTTTCTTAGCACTGATTACTGTATTTGTGTCATTGGGATATCAGCGGCAGTTAGTCAGTTCCCACCCAGTGTCAGTCCCGCTATAAGTCACTGACCACTGCCATTGGTAGTAAAAAAAAAAAGGGAAATAAAAAATTCAGTATATATACCGCCATTTGCAGATGGCATAACTTTCACGTAAGCCAATTAATTTACACGTATTGGGATTTTTTTTTTTTAGCAAAGACATGTAGCTGAATACATTTTGGCCTAAATTTATGATGAAATTTGATTTTTGAATTTTTTTTTATTGGATATGTTTTATAGCGAAAAGTCACACATATTGGGTTTTTTTAAAAAAAATTGTGGGTGTGTTTTTTGTTTATAGCGCAAAAAATTAAAAATGCAGAGGTGATCAAATACCACCGAAAGAAAACTCTATTTGTGGGGAAAAAAGGGCATAAATTTCATCATTTATGTACAGCGTTGCATGACCGCACAATTGTCAGGTAAAGTAACGTAGCGCCTTATTGCAAAAAACGGCCTGGTCAGGAAGGGGGGGGTAAATGGTTAATGTTGTAATCACCTAGCCTATACAAGGTTATTATTATTATTATTATACAGGATTTATATAGCGCCAACAGTTTGCGCAGCGCTTTACAATATAAGGGAGGCAGTACAATTACAATACATTTCAGTACAGAAGGAATAGGAGGGCCCTGCTCATGGAGCTTACAATCTAAAGGAAGGGGGAGGTGATACAAAAGGGGATAGCTGAGGGGGATGATCTGGCGGAGGTGATTCAAGTACACTTCTTAGGTAGAGGTGGGGTAGGCTTCCCTGAAGAAGTGAGTTTTCAAAGATTGCCTAAAGGCAGACAGGGTGGGGGCTGACCGAACATGCTGTGGTAGGGAGTTCCAGAGGATGGGAGAGGCTCTGGAGAAGTCCTGGAGGCGAGCGTGGGAGGAGGTGATGAGGGAGCTAGAGAGGAAGATATCATGGGAGCAGCGGAGTGGGCGATTTGGGCAGTATCTGTGGATGAGGTTGGTGATGTAGCTAGGTGCAGTGTTGTGGATGGCTTTGTAAGCTGTGGTTAGTATTTTGAATTTTATACATTGGGTTAGTGGAATCTCTACATCTCCCTATATACACTTTTGTAGAGTGACACCAGTGTTTTTGGAATGAAATAGAGCAATGTATATTATGTTATGGCAGAGCAGGGGTCCAAAGACCCAAAAACAAGCATGAATGTTATTAAACCTGCTAAAAGGAATTTAAAAACTGAATTACTAGCTTTGAGTGGTCATACCCTTCCAGTGGCTCCAGCTTTAACATTTAGCATAACAGGGAATTCATGAAGATTTTCTACAAAATCCTACAAACCGTACCTTGTGCAGGACTAAGAATGCGGTAAAGCCAGAAACCACCAACAATTTGATTACCGGAGATCCTCTAGCTAGGCACATGGTGGGAAAACTGCATACATTTCCTTGTTACAGGTT